GGCCGGGGCAGCTCTGCGGGCAGCGGCCGCTCTGCACAGTGGTGGGAAGGCGGGGGATCCCCGGGCCTGGGCGGGAGGGATTCCCGAGGCTGCTGAAGGGTGGCCGGTGCCGTGTTCTTTCCTCCGAGGCTCTGGGTCCGTGTATAGGGGTTTCAAAGTCGGGGCGAGCGGCCCTCGGCCTGCCCTGCCCGGCTGGCCCTGTCCCGCCTTCCCAGAGCCCCAGCACCCAGCCTGGTGCTCGGTCCCTGCCAGCAGCCTCGTCTGGCTGAAAAGTCGGGTTTTTTCAAAGTATTGAGCCATACACATTATGTGACCGAGGGTGGATACCAGGCGGAATATTCATTTCACGTTTACAGGGTAGATACGTTATTGTTTTAGTTTGGTGTGTCTTTCTCGTCTTTCCTCATAGTAACAACTTCTAATTCCAGCTCTCTCTTATCGCCTTCATCCTTATCATCCCACTGCCTTAACTTTCCTTGGCGGTTTCCCATCACTCTGTTCTCCATGTGATTATCATGCCACTGTTAGGTTCTTTTCACTCTGTTATGTTCCATCATCTTCTGATAAATGCCAGAGCAGTCCTCACTGTCATTTATTCTTTCCCGTGAGGTTTGTCCCTGGAATATTTTGCAAAAATCCATAAAGGTAATAATAGAGAGAAAACTTCTGTTTATGTAACACCAGTTGCAGCTGTAAGTCAAGGTGGAGAATTGTGCTTTATATGTGAATTATAGATAAAGTAACAGGGAGTATGGATGCCTGCCTTGGCCCTGGTTGGCAGGTTATGGACTTATTCATCCCTTGGATTGTTACTGCATGTATGCCTTTAGCAAGGGAGGTTCTTAGAGAATTGAGTTGAAATTTTAAATAAAATTAGTAAAAGGCTCAAAGTTCACTTTTCTTTTAGTGGTATCAGCCAAGGACCCAGCAGGCCCAGCTGCTAAAAAATCAACCGCGTAATATTGCCCAACTTGAACCAAATTTAGCCTTGTAGGAAAAAAAAAAATCTTAAAAGGTGAGCATCTCCTTTTAATGAGGTGGCTGAAAGGGAGGCTCAGGTTAATGCTGTTGTAACTCTTGACTGTATATTCTGCTCCAGCCCTAGTGGGCTGCTGAGGGTTTTTCCTTTTCAGCTGGAGCAGGTTCCTGATTCAGCTTATGGTGAGATGCACGAATGCAGATGTGGCAGAGCATCTGGGGAGTCACTGCTCAGGCTGGGTGTAAAAGTGGCCAGTTCTTTTCCCCCAAATGCCAACTAATTTATTTTTACTTTTAACCCAATAACCAAACACCCGTGTTCCGCACTGTGTACCTTTCTGTCCAATCACCCGATACCACCCAAAACCACGAAGAAGAAGGAAGAAAGGCAAAGACAAGCCAAGGCCCTAGAACCTCCATCTTGTCCCTCATTCACTACTATATCTCAAACTATAAAGTCTAAAATTTTCACCCGGTGACTTAACATAATTCTGTCTAACTCACACATTCACGTTCCCAGTTTCTCTACTTAGTTTTAGAAGCCTTCTGCATGGTCCAGTGTTCTCTCGAGTGTCTGAGCCTGTCAGCACAGATAAAGAGACATTTTCTGTGCCTGGGGCTCCAGCAGCTTGGGGTGTCCCTGAGGAGATGCACACAGAGCAGAGCTCAACAATTAGGGGTTGTTTGGTCTCCTGGCATGGTCAGTTGCAGGGCCTTTTGCCCTGCACACAAGAAACATGAAAGGCTTGAGGGGGTGGTGGCCTGAGGGTGGAGAAGAAGGGGTATGAGTGCACTTGATGGAGTGGGATGAGAAACAAAGGGGCCACTGTGAATTCGGTAAGAGCAGGAGCTACGCTTGGGAATGAGGGCCACAGGGCATAGATCTGTACAGAATCAAATGTCATTACTTTTGACTGAATGAAATTATCCCAAATATTTTTTATTTCCGTGGCAATTAGACTAAAACCATTGGAGGATGGTGGTTGTGACTTTCTTGGGTTCAGCTGCAAGCCTGAGCCTGTGGCTCCAGCAGCTTTCCCAGCAGGAGCAGCTACCTCTCTGTGCAGGAGCTCGTGCTGCCCCTTGCTCCTTGTGCATGACTGCCTGGTGATCCGGGAGAGCGATCTGCTGGAAAACAAGGATGGGCAACGGGGCAAAGAGGCAGTGGTGCTTCAGCAGCTCACTTTCAGCCTGGAGGAAGCCACCAAGGGATTTTCCTCATGGAAAGGGACTCTCCTGAAGCCTGGAGTCCTGGGGAGCTGGACACAGAACGGAGAATCTGGGCCAGAGGTGTCTTGGTTTCTGAGATCTCTGGTGCTTTAAATAGTTCATTACTGTTACAAGCTCAGGATTCCTCAGGCTTGACTGACCATTGAATTGGCAAAACAGTTAAGTGGCATATGTTACTAATGTTTTTAAAAATCAAAATGTAGTGCATTTAGGAGAAATTTCTGAGAGTGGGAACTGAGGGGAGGAGCAAGTGAAGGAATATGCAGATTTTCCTGTGTCTGTGTAACACTTTCCCTCTGGAACCTCATGTTACTGTTAAAGTGACTGAGTGTCCTAGACTTTTCAAAGCAAAATCTTTCACTTTTTTACCTTTTTAGATAGCTTTAAGCACAGCTGCATGACATTTTGTACAGAAAATAAGAAAATAAATGCCATCTAGGGGAGCTCTTGGCATCTTCTGATAATACTCCCATTCAAACTGTAAGAATACAACTTCAGGAGCATTTAGTTGAATAGTTAAGAAAACAAGTAGGTAATACATGTTAGCAGCTCATTTGTTGTCACAAAACCCAAAGTCAGTTTCTGCATTTTACACAGAGTATTTGGAAATGTTTCTTTCTGCCTTTTTCTTTCAAAACTGAAATATGTTTGTTTTTTTCTAGTTAAACCACACTTAAGTTTCAATTTGCTCTTATTTGTGGAGAATGTTTTCAGTCAATCACATGAGATTTTGTATTTTTACTGTTCTTTACTAATTTGACCATTCTCAGGCTTTCTGTAAGATAACTAATGTTCCCACTTAGTGATGGTAGGGACTTGGGCTCTCCTTCCCTCCCAGTTCACTCATTTCAGAAATTTCAAGGCGTGTGAACTACTTCAAAGCATGTTTCTGACTTGCAAAATTGAAACAAAGACATAATTAGTAGGGAAAGAAAGGATAAAGTTTAAGGCTCCTACAGCTTCTGTTCTGTGGTCCTAAACTTTAAACTGTTGTCTGGAAGAAGCTGCACAAGTGAGCTGGGGAAGGAACATGGGTCAGTTGTGTGAAACCTTAGCCTTTGAGGAGCGTGGGATGCTCCATGGGTGTGTAGGAGGATGCTGCTGGGTTTGTGTATAAGCATTTGCAGAGATGTGAGGGTGGTGCACCTCTGAGAGCTGGAAATCAAGCTCAGCTCCTGACCTTTGAGGCCTCTGAAGGCGAATGTCTTTACCTACTGCTACAGGTCATGTTCCCAATGCTGTGATCTTGAAATCACGACAGCACCTAAAATATCTGCCTTAATTCCTGCTCATTTAATGGTGTTTAGGTGAATGCCAGTGTAAAACTTCTGAGGGGTTTTATTCTGTTTTTAATACTTTTTAATTCTACAATACAAACACATGTTAAAGAAATCAGGTTCTGGCTTAATGTAAGTTGTCACCGTATTCAGCTCAGTTGTGAGCGGTTTTAAGGGGTTGTTTGATTGTGCTTTTCCAAATATTTGAATGGTTGTTAGCCTCAGCAGAAGCATCAAGAGGTTAATTTTTTTCTTTTTGGTAGGAGTGATTTACTCTGGGTGATTATGTTGTCAGGCTGTGAGTTAGATCTGTGCATTAGAACCTTTAATCAAAATCTTTCTGTGGCATAAGCACACAGAAAATATGAATTCTTGTGAGTTTAATTGTTTAAAGACACTAAGAAAACTTAAATTCTCAAGCAATCACATGATTCCCAAAAGTGAGTTTTGACCTCTGAAAGCAATACCAAATGAATGTTTTTTCATATATGTGTGCATGAGACTTTTTATTGCAACTTTCCCATTTCATCTCACATGCATAATAAATATTTGTGAAACTGTAAAGGAAAAAAATACTATTTTATCAGTTTCATAGGTGGAATTGAATTAGGCTGAAATATTTCTTGGTGTGAGATAAAGTGAGATTCCACCTATCAGTATGAAAATGTGCATCATTTTCAGGGGAGCAATTGAAAGAGCACTCTTGGTGAAGTATCTTAAAACAACAGTCACTATTTCTTTTGGTTTCACAATCTCCATCATTCAGCTAAAAATACTTTATCAAAGCATAGTTATTCTCTAAAAAAAGAGGAATTAAAAAAAAAATAAAGGCCTAAAATATATTTGTGGAAGAGTTGAGTTTAAAGGTTCCTTGTCATTTTTAAAACAGAAAGATGATGACATTGAAGAGGGAGATCTCCCTGAACACAAGAGGCCTCCAGCACCAATAGACTTCTCAAAAATAGATCCAGGCAAGCCTGAAAGCATCCTGAAGCTGACAAAGAAGGGGAAGACTTTGATGATGTTTGTCACAGTGTCGGGAAATCCCACAGAAAAGGAGACAGAAGAAATCACCAGCTTGTGGCAGGGCAGTCTCTTCAACGCAAACTACGACGTGCAAAGGTGAGCTGTTGTGCACAAAGATAAAGTTCTTGCCTTTGCAGAACCATTTCTTTCTTCCTGAAAATCTTTTCAGCTGTTCATCCTTTGCTGTTCTCCACCTTTATCATTCATTACTATTTCTGTTTCTTTGTCAGTTGTGACAAAACTTTGGTATGGTGCAGAAATCTCTTCAATGCTTATGCATGATGTGTGTGTGTGTAGCCCAAATTTTATCTCACTAGGGTTCAGCTATTTATCAGTTCTAGCTGCAGTAGTTTGCCTCTATGTGCTTGATAGAAAACATCACACTCTGAAGACTTGTCACCACAAAAGGCTTTCTGTTCCCCTGCTAAAAAATGCGACTCTTTTTCTCTCTGAAGAGAGCATCAGTTTATAACAGAAGAATGTTGTGCTCATGTATTGAGTCTGAGAAGGGTTGCAATAAGTGTATAAAGCAAATTTAGTCCTCATTAGTGGATTTTACATAGTGCCAAATGAGTTCTAGGTTTGTTTCCTTATTCTTGCTTCCTTGGTTACTTATTGATATACTTCATACATTTTATTCTTCAATGTCCTAGAAGATTGTTCTCTTGTCCCCATCCCCAGGCAACAACTAAACCAGCTTCTTGCTCTTAAATGTGTGCCTTAGTCATGTAGGCTCTCTGAGCAAATGCTGGAGTGTTTGAAAAGCAGAGTTAACTAAAAAAAATATGGATTTTTCCCCTAGGTTTATTGTTGGCTCCAATCGGGCCATCTTCATGCTGCGGGATGGTGGCTACGCCTGGGAGATCAAAGACTTCCTGATAAATCAGGAAAGGTGTGCAGATGTTACTCTGGAAGGTCAGGTTTATCCTGGCAAAGGAGCAGATGAAAATGAGAAAGTGAAAAACAAAACAAAACCTGAAAAAGCAAAGAAGAAAAAAGACGCAGAGAAGAAACCTAATGGTGTCAAAGAGGACAACCGAGCAACCAACCAGAGAGAGGAGCTATGACAGCCACAGTACCCAGACTGAACCCTGCTCTGCTGCTCCTTGAGGGGAACCTGCTGATGAGTCCTGGCTTTTGGGGAGGAAGGAAGCAGAGACTACTGAAGCTTAAATTTGTGTTGAAATTCACCAGTTTACTCACTGCTGTTGGCCATTTGTTTAGTTACAGGAATGGTAACGCTTCATGCTGGCAATTGACTGCTTTAGTTTGTAATTCTTTTATGCTTTTGTTGTTTAAAACTAGCATACAAATCTGTGTGTTTAACATTGCAAACTTAATTTAAGTAGAAAAGAAGAATCATGGTCTCAGAATACACTGATGCTCATTTGTAGTAGCTGTGTCCATCTTGGGTATGTAAATCATGGATTCACAGCTGCTGTCAGAGAGCCTGGTGCAGTGTGAAAAGATTCTCTTGGAAGATGGTTTGATAGACACAGTTGGCACAAAACTGCCCAAAGTTACAAAGAATAGTGGGCCAAAGATGCCTGAAATTACAGGGTTTAGGACATGTTTGGTTAGACTGTCTTTTTCTTTAAAATAAACTCAACCCATTGTGTCCCAGGAAATCTGTGGCAGTGCTCAGGAGTGTAATGGACCAGGTAGGAACTCTGCTAATGCACTCCAGATCTGTACAGGAGGGACACTCTGTGCCCTTCAGAATTGAATGGAATTGTAGCACCTGCACCAGCAGTGTCAGGGTGAAAAGTGAAGACAAATCCAGGGCTTTCAGGTTGCTCCTGCTGCTAAAGGACTGTGCCTCTGTGCCTGTGGAAGCAGCTGTTCCATGTCCCCCGTTACTCAGGAAGTGAGCTGGAAGAAAAAGCTTTAACTCTGAAGTTAATTTGGTTTACTGATTTAATGGTTTGTTTAAATATTTGAAAAAGCACTAGTTACAGCACAGAGTTAAACTTGGAGTTAGACATATCACTTACTGATGCTGATCTGGATAGAGTTTGGTGGGTGTTTTTTCTTGGTACAGATTCCTGACTGACGTAGTTAATTGTAAATGACCATTTGATTAGAATATAAGAAGTTGGACATATGGGAGCCAATACTTTGCATAATTGGGAAGGGTTTAATATTACTCAGATTGTATTCAGTCAAATGCTTTGCTTAAAATTGTTTCCCTTCTGCCTTACTACCAGTTAGGGACTAAAGGCACCGAGTAGTGTGGTTCACATCATTTTGCAGAGGATGAGAACAGTATCCACTGTCTTCATTCAATACTGGTATGGTGTTACTTTTTCTTTAAGGTGCTAAAATCCAAATATTGGATAAAAGGTCCTAATTGAACCATAATGGTTGATCTTGTGGAATACTTCGGTATCAAAAGTATGAAACTGTGACTGAGTCTTTGTTCTAAAATAAAAGATGTCTCTAAACTTACTGTTTTGAAGAGCAGTAAAACCTTTTAAATAGATCTGCATTTAGTTATGTATTCAAGAGGCAGACCAACTCATTTTTGGTTTCTCTATGTAAGGACTAAATAATGTTGATGAAGGTTCCAGTTGATTCATTTTATTTAATTTTAATTATATTTGTGTGAATTTAAAGAAACGTTTGCAACTACATTAAACAGGCCTGTACCTGTTTGAGTGGAAAATTAAAATTTGTTTCTTCAGGATTAACTATTACTTTATATTCTACTACTAATGCAGATGTTCAGTGGAGTTGAGAACAGTCTCAGTAGATATTTGGATAGTTGAGATGTACAGTCCAATTCTTGTGCATAACTAATTTATCATTTGGTCACATATTCCGGGTTAGCACCATCATTTGTAAATAATATTGCTTCTCATCTCAAGGGAAGACCAGCGGTCATATGAAACTATAAAAATGAAATATTAATGAGTTTTTGCTTTTCACAGTTATGGTATAGAGGTGACAATTCAGATTTTGATCAGAAAGACATGGAAGTACAGTTTTATATTCCTCTTAATGTTATTTCCTTTTTGATCAGATTGGGTTTGAGACTATTGGAGAAACAATTACTACACTATATAGCCCAGCTTTTAAATATGGATATTTCAGTCATTCATAAATCTACATTTACAGTAGATTGGGGCTTTCCCCTTTGTAGTTAAAAGGAACTTTGTTGAAATTGAACCAGCCAGTTGGCCTTTTTTTTTGGTTGGTTGATTGTTTCTCAGTCAGTTGCCCATGCCAAATGCAGATATGTCTTGTGCCACATAGCTTAATCAAATTTCAAAGTGTTTGGGGGTCTTTTTGGTTGTTTTGTTGGGGTTTTTTTTAGGTTTTTAATCTGTGTGATGACTTGGCAGTTGTTTTCTTTGATATAAAACACAAAATGCCACCTTCACAAAATAAGTTTCTTTTACTCTTCCATTTTTCTTCTCCCTTTTTCATGCTTTACACTAACCAAATACTGAAATATACCAGTATATATGGCAGTCTGGCAGGAGCTGCTTTACTCCAGCCAATTTTTCTCTACTGTCAGAGTTCATTACTCAAGAATAACCTGAATTGCCTTTTAAATCTGGTAAAGTCTTTGAGACGGTTGCACTTGTCCTGGGACTGTGTTACATAACCAAATGTTTGGTGGTGATTTAAGAGGCCCAAATGCTATCATATATATGAATATGTCTATGTGTGTATATATATCTCAAAATAAATATCCTCCAAAAGTTACAAAAGACCAGGAATGTTCTATGAGTGCCTCAGAAGATGGAGTCTCCCTAGGAGGCTTATCAGGCTCTTAATAACAGATTTTTTAGTTCCACATACAGGACATTCAGATACCTCCTTTAAAACTAAATTCAATCAGTTGGGTGGTAATTATTGCTCTTACTATTTCCTTCTTTGTTCATTTCTATACAGAGGTACGTGGAAAATCATCTGTTTTCATGACAGCAAAACATCTGCTGCCTTTCTCCTCCCAGCATAGTGGTTTCTCTGTTCTAGTGCTATAACTAACTTTTCTAAGCTACTGTTCAATTTCTAACCCAGCTCTCCTACTCAGAAAAAACAGTTTGTCAGTGATGCTACACACAGGATGTGGTTGCACTTTGTGGAAAATTTACAATGGACAATCAACTTTTTATGTAATAAAATACTGGAAAAAAATATTCTGGGTTCTGTTGATGTGGGATTTTTCTTTAAAGTGTTCTGACACAAACTACAGCAGGATTTCTGATCTTAGAGTGGTCAAAGCATTTCTCTGAACAGTCAGGTCAGCCTTGACTTCCAAGAGAATACTTTACAGTCACTGTTCCTGAACTCTTTCAATTTTGTTCCAAGAAGAAAATTATAAAATGCCATTTTGTAAAGATACGGAACAACCTACTTCTATCTGATATTTGGCCACTGTTCTTGATGGGTTTCTGGTAAGGCTTATAAATTACTTCCATTCTTTTATTTGTGGCTCATTTCCTTTTTTAATCAGGAAGTAACACTGCCTTTTCCAGAGGCTTTTTCTTTTAATTGCATCAGATATTTATAGAAATTCAAAGAACCTGTTCCTGAATAGAGAGGATGTCTCTGTTTTTAAAATGCCTAATTCATTGGTAGGTTATGTTTTTCTTTTTTAAGATTGCCATCCTACAAGATCCATTGATACCCTGCTATTTGATAATTCTTACTCTGGGATAGAATGAACTGGTTTTGAATATCACTATTTTTATCTTTTATACTGTGCCCCTTTAATAGGACAAATCCCACTGAATTCAGGTAGTACAAATTTGCCAGGAAGGAAAAGAAGAAAATCACTCCACTTGGATTTTCGGATGATGGTATATTTTCTCCTGCAGTAGTTAGGTGGTGGAGGGGGTTGGACACAGGAGAGCTCTGTGCAGAGCAGTTTTTGATTAGCATTTAAAAAGCTGCTGTAACACTCAACAATCAGGCATTGCACAGTGCCAGCTTCAGCCAGGGACAGATGGGAAATGCTTTGTTCCTTTCCCGTGTGATGCTACTTAACAGAGCAGTGTTGATACTGGCTGGGTTATCAGTGCCATTATACCAATTGTTCCTGTGACAGGAAAACCAAATCTCTTAACCATCATTTAAATTAGCAGTCATAGTGGTAATAATTAATTATTCTTAAAATGCTGTTATATGTGTTGTTATTATTACTTAGACATTGGTATTTTGGGAGGGGAAAATGGGACAGTTAAAGGAGCTTCAGCCTCTTCCCTGTCTTATGGGCAAAGGCTACAACTCAGAAACAGAACCTTTTTTCTTTCTTACTCCAGAATTGTCTCTCCATTGCAGGGGGACAGAAGACATCCCTGTTTGTTACAGAAGAGCAACTGAAATGCTCTAATTCATGGAGTTAATAACCCAAACTTTTTTTCCCTTAGATAATTTACTGATACCTAAAAAAAAAAAAAAAACCAAAACCTGTGGGCCCATCTTTACTGCCTGCAACATCTGCTGCTCTTAAAGGTAATTTTCAGTTGTGTCTGAACAGAGGCTGGACTTCTGTTGGCACCCTGCCCAATAATTCTGTGGGAAGCACTGACCAGAGCACTGAGTGCTCATTAAATCATTAATATTTAAATCAGCTCAGCTGCCTTAATTGGTGGCAGAGTTACATGTCATCAGAGCTCTGCGTGCACTGGGAAGAGGTGAACAATAAGCCCCTGGAATTTGCTTGCGAGGTGCAAGGATTGAACAGCACCATGAGGTGACCTAGGTCTTGCTGTAATTTATATAAAGTTTCCTCTGTAGTGAGGAAGACTGAATCATACAGGAATAATTGTACTGCAAGGGTGTATTGAAAATAAGATCATGGTTGAGCACTTGCTGAGTCAATATAAAAATAAGCAAAAAGGTTTAATAGGTATATTTATATGACCATTGCTATTATTCCTGAGATCATGCCTGCAGGCCATCTTGGATATTTGGGATTTTTTTAACTTGTCCTTCCTGCAACTCCATTTCATTCAACTTCTTTTTGCAAAAAAAAGAAAAAAAAAATTAGAAATTATTCAGTTTTCATCCTCTCATCTAAAATTATATTTCAGAAGTGTCAAAAATAGTTCATATTTGAAATTACGTGTAACTTTCATATGAGTATTTTATTATTCATCCTGTCAGTTGTATCCACAGCCCTGTGCCTTGCCAACCCTTGATCAT